GGAAAGGGAGCCAATTTCCGGTCTGTTTTTCCCGAGTTAACTTGATGTGCTCTGATTGGAAGTTCAGTAGGCCAAAACACATCTATTATTTCTACCTGTGTCGCACAAACTATGAAGCAGTAATCTATATACCTGCAGCAAAGTAAGGGCAGGTATTCAAGTGCAGGTGCTTCAATCAATTTGGTTTCAATTTCAATCAATTCGATGTTTGGTCGGATAGTCAAAATTGTAATGATCCTTTCAGGCTCTGAAGAAGGCGACCCCGCCGAAACGTCGGCCTAATAAAGCTCATTTACAACCCTCGAATTAACATAATTGATATAGTGTTTCTTAATATATGTAAAGACTATATGTAATTCTTGAGCTAAGGGCTTCATGCTGCTTCTTCTGGCCCCTGTAATGAATGTGAACTTAACCGGATCTTTATGTAGTTCTGGTAGAGCATATATAGCGGGGATTTCCATATCATCTGCTATTTTCAGATTATTACTAGCACAAAAAAGTTTATGTCTAGATATAATTTCTAATTTGCTCTTGTAATTTACAAGTTCATATGTATGGTTACCATTATTATATATGAAACTATTTGTGACCTGGTCATATTTTATGCCCATTTCTTGCATTAATATGTTTAGATAATATTTTTTGCATACAATCCCTAAATTATTACTAGCCTTCTAACGGACAGAAGACATATTTATTATGGTATCTTTCAATAGTGTGTACTGGTATATGCTCTGCATTACCCTTAATCACAGGGATCGTGAGTTGTAGTTTTATTTTTTTATGATAACTTTTCTTAAAGAACTGAATAATTAAATTTCTTTTTATGCTACTAATTTTATACTTACTGTTGAAAAACTCTAAGACTTTATGTGTCAAGTTATCATATACATTCCTGATCTCTTTCCAACTAATTCCCGCATCTATTCAATATTTGGTACCTTTACTTAATATATTATTAAGTTGTATGTCTTTGATTATGCTCAAATCTTCAGTAATTACATGCCCATGATTCTTATCCACGTATTTTTGATTAACTGTAAACCCGCATTCACAATTTTGTTTAAATATTTCTTTCAATTTTTCAATGTTAAGATTTTTAAGAGTTTGATTATGGTTACAAACCTTCCTGGCCACTGGATTGGTATACTTGAACACGCTATTAAGATTATCATTACCAAATATAATGCGTTTGATAACTTGTGCATTTAAATTTTTTTAAATGGAAGCTCGATATTGTGTGATTAATTTCCTTTGTTTTATTATTCTGCGGAGCAATTGAATATTGTAAGTGAGCTGATAAACAAAAGACTAAGAACTTTGTTTTTTGACTGACTAGTTCCAGAACGTTTTCTTCTACCGATAATCTGAGTATCTTTTTTATTTCGTCTTTACGTAAGCTTTCGAGTAAACTGTAATATTCAATGGGTTTAAGATTTCTTTCATTATTAGTAATTTCTGTAAGTATCGTGTCACATTTATCCATGTTACTTTTTTTCTCTTTTTTCTTTTTGGTTTTTCCTCTATTGTTTCTTTTTTTTAATTACTTTAACGGCAAAGTATGGAGGATTGTTTTTACTAACTAGTGGATTTTGCATATTACTAATGTTGCCATATCCTTTAATATTATCATTCAATCCAAATGGGTAAGCTGTCATTGGTAATTTAATCCAGAATATTTCTTCATTAATTAAAGTCTGTTTATCGTTGTTTTCCAACTAATCTAGAATATCAACTCTTACACCTTCATCACACTTAAAGAAGTGGTTATACAATAGAGTGTGTTTTTTTATGATTGTATATATTCCTGAGATGCTCTCCTATTCTATCTTTTATCTTTCTAGTGGTCGAGCGTGCTTTGCGGGGACGAATACATAGGTGAGACTGGGCGGCCATTAATATGTAGGATCAAGGAACACCTAGCCGGTCTGAAGAAATCAAGGCCTGAAACCCCTCTCGGAGACCATCGTAGGCAATGCCACGAAGGTCTAGAGTTTGAAGTCTCAGTCAGGATCTTGATGCGGGAGCCCACGACCTCCGCGCGAAAAACTCTAGAAGCCTTCTGGATCTGCGCAAAAGATCCCAAAATCAACCGGAAAGACGAATGCCTGGCCATAACAAATGAACTCGCCCCGTTCCTCGACCTGTGTGGGTTAAAATTGCCACCGGCTTCATGTCGGGGGTCAGGTCACCCGGAGCCCACCCACTGCGAAGACGTTTAAATAGGCAGTTTGAAAGGGGTCCACATGCCGTCCTTTCTATCTCTTAGGTGGGTTCCCAGTTGTGTTTTAAGAGAACCTTTTAGTTATCTGTAGGTTATACTGTAACTAACTGAAGTCTGAAATGGTGCCTGATATGGATGAACCACAAATAGTTTTTGACTTCCAGGTCCTGAAGAAGGCGTTGTCGCCGAAACGTTGACCAATAAAGGAGTTGTACCATCTTGGCAGAGGCTATACAGAACACTTTCATACTGAAACTCATACAATGCCAACATTTATCGAAAGTCGATCGTGGGCAATTCTGAAGAACGTACCAGCCAACTATTGTCGACTCGTGAAGGAAGCCATCGCACTACGACAGAAGCTCGTCGTAGCGAAGCAAACCACCCACTTCCTACAACGCTGCCTCCAACATAAGGCGATTCCAAATTTTATCTCGAGGAAGAAGTTGCACGAGGTATGCGGCCTCCCGGTTGACAGTAGGCAAATACAAGAATTACAGCTACGCATACTGAGGACTGCATGGAAGAGCAAGAAGAATCAAGTGTTCTCTTTGTTGATCAAATGTGTGTCCAAAGAATTGTGTTGTCAACGATGTTTGCCTATTTGTATTTGGAGGAAAGTCGTGGGTGAGTCAAAAATTATTTGCGATTCTATCCGTTCAAGCACCAAACTAAGGCTTCAGAATAAGTTCAGTAAACTTATAGACCTGAAGAGATCTCGTAATTCACAACGAGAGGTTCCTATCTCCAATACGGTTGACCACCGCCAAACTGACGACAGTGGGGAACCCGGGTCCAGACCACCTCGAGTTACTGTTATAGGTGGCATTAGTCTTTCTGAGGAGGCACTGTCGGTCCTGGATCTAGGTCCCAGTTTTGCACCTACACAAAGGATAGGTCGTGGTGTATCACGTAAAGTCCTGGGGGGCCTTCAGGTTCTACAAGACAACCTGCGTCAAAAGGCCAACCAACAGGGAAACGGTCAAGAACACCCAACGAGCCGATTTCCCGCGATCCCTTTCTCTCCCCTTTTCTTCAGAGCGCAGGACCCAAACCCGGCCGTTGATGTAAAATTCCGCCTCTTTGCGACGTCTGTTTTCTCCATTCTGAAGCGGCACAGCCACCAGCCACCCGTTCCAAACATCACCGCAGCGCAAAAGCGAGAGCTTGCCGAGCTTCAAGATCTTTTGAACTCCAAAAACATCAAGATCTCGGTGAGCGATAAGGGAGGCGAGTTCGTGGTTATACCAAGAAATCTGGACGCTGCTATCACCCAAGCCCACCTGGGGGATGGGACCCTTTACAAGCAATCATCAGAGGGGGAATACAAAAGACAATACCGCCGTTTATACAGGGTTTGGCTGGACATAGCACATAGAGCAGATTTACCTAAATCATTAATCACGCGTTTAAAGTGTGACCTCCCAGTCTGCCCAGTGCTCTACGTCCTTATAAAAACGCATAAACTTTCACCTGACACCCTGTCGTCCCTCGATCCCTCGGACTTTAAAGTTCGCCCCATCATAAGCAACGTAGGAGGCCCTACCGATAGGATATCATGGCTGCTGAGCTTCGTGTTAACCCAATTACTATCTTTTATCCCCGCCCATCTCAGTAACACCAGGAGGTTCCTCGACCAGCTGCGAGAGACTCGCTTCAGGAGAAATCACGTCATAGAATCTTTTGATGTGACCTCTCTCTATACAAACGTGTCAAACGGAGACGCCATGCAGGCCACCCACGAGCTTTTAAATGAACATGCGGGGTCTATAAATATGTATGGCCTCTCTGTCTCCCAGGTGATGACTCTGGTCAAGGAATGCCTTGACTGCTGTATATTCAGGTGGTCCGGTCAGTACTTCAGGCAAGTCAGGGGACTAGCCATGGGCCAACGGCTGGCACCAGTGCTAGCCATTGTCTACATGTCAAAAATAGAAAGGCCCGTTTTGGATCGCCGGCCTGTGCTCTATTGCCGTTATGTAGACGACTGCTTTGTCGCCTGCTCAACTCAGAAGGAAATGGACAGGTGTTTCGAGCTGCTGACTGACTAAGTATGTGAGCGGTCAGTCACACATACAGAGAGGAGTCCCCTTGCAAAAGGTTTGGCAACAGTGCTGCCAGGGATTGGCAAGCCCTTATTTAACGATTAGTGCTGGAGGCGCCAAGAGCTGACCCCTCTTGCCGCGCTTCACTTGCATAACCAGCACCAATCCCTATTTTTTTGAAGAGGTATGGCCCTCTTGAATGAATGGTTGATTATTATAGTACAAGTGCAATACACACACTAAAAAAAAGGAAAGGGAAGGGAAAGGTGAAGGATATAAGTGGAGAAGAGGTGACCAAAATTACAAGTTACCTATATTGAGTTTTTTATTAATCTTTATTATGCTATATTTTATACATTCTTTTTAAATTGTTTATATGAACATAGTTGATGTTTTAAGTTAGTTTGTAAAATTATGGACTACACGCAACAATTACATCTTATAAATAAATTAAAACTTTATTAAAGTGTATTACCTGAATAAACAGTAATGTTTATCTGTAAGTTGACCTTATTTTTCTAAAAAATAGTAATGATAAAATATAAATATCACGTATAATTTTTTATGATAAAAATCACCCATAAATTGTGATATACAATTGAGAAATTGGGATGCATCTAACCGCATCATGCCATATAACTTTTTGAATAGTAATTTATGACGATGATTTATGGGGGCCTAACGCGGTAACCCGATTGGAGATCTATATAAGAAGGCCTCCGAACGAGATGGCATCTCACTCGTGGGTGTTACTACTGTTCGATCTCGCAATGTCCGGACGTGAAAAAGGAGGCAAGGAACTAGGCAAAGGAGGTGATGCTGTCACCCACTGCGAGCATGCCAAGAGAAAGACCGTCACCGCCATGGACGTTGTCCACGCTCTGAAACGTCAAGGAAGTACTCTATGCGGTTTCGAAGGACAAGAAGCTCTCGATGCGATTCCCATCAAACATCTTCACATCTAACCCAACGGTCCTCTTTAGGGTCACAATTGTTGGACGAAACGAATACAAGATTTGATAATAAGTGGTTTGATGAACTGAATAAATCTGAAATTGTTTTGTGTGTGAAATTGTGGAGGCCATTAGATTATGATTCCAACGGTTATATTGATATGAAAGGGATGTATGTATGCTGTGTATATGACACAACTCCACATGTAACATAAGTGCTATTTTCACATATTCACTTAAGATTACCACTTGTTTGAGTAATATTCATCAATGTTAGTAGCGGTACGCATTGTATCAGGTATTGGACCATATCAGCCACCACATTCTTGACCCACCTCCAACATTACGCCATGCCATTAAAGCGCGCGAAAAATCAAAGTCGACCTTTAGCGTGACGTACTCTGGTGCGATAAATGAATGGCGGAAGGTGTGAGGGACTGTTGAAACATCATAATAGCTGTTGAAACAGAATCAATATATGGTGAAATACCTGAAGGTAATGCCACTCAATCAACCTATCTGTGTAGCTAATGGGTATTAACCAAAATTACAAGTTACCTATATTGAGTTTTTTACTAATCTTTATTTTGTTATATTTTGCACACTCTTTAAAATTGTTTATATTGAACATAGTTGATGCTTTAAGTTAGTTTGTTAAATTATGGCTTACACGCTACAATTACATCTTATAAATAAATTAAAACATTAAAGCGTATTACCTGAATAAACATAATGTTTATATGTAAATTGGCTTTATTTATCTAAATAATAGTAATGATAAACCATAAATATCACGTATAATTATTATGTTAAAAATCACCCATAGATTGTGCTATAAAATTGAACAATTGGAATGCACTAACTGCATCATGCCATGTAACTGCCCCAATGCTTGTTTGATACGAAGCTAATTGATTAAAGCCATTATTGGAAATATAATATTTGAATTAGTAATAGCATAAGTGGATAGTTAGACTTTTATATTATATGCATACATTGAATAAATGGCTAAGAATTCACATTACTATTCAAATAAATATAACCAGCTCCAGTACAAGATTGGTTACCGTATACCTAAATATATATGACCTTTAAAGTCAAGTGGACGCCGTATTGATCGTTAATAGTGGCTGTTGTTCTCTGTTGTATTTATGCGCCAACTACGCTTTACCGTTACTACCATTCACCACCTTGCCACATATCATGATATTATTGAAACAAATGCCTTCTAGAATGGCGATGTGCTAAAATAAGGTAGCCACTCCCTATTCCTACTCCAGACGTGAATTAAATTTGAAAAATAGGTGAGTACAGAAGACATTATAAGGTATTCCATCTATATTGGTCAATGCATAAGTATCATACGAAGCCCGAAACCACCAATTAAATAATTTTAACTCTAAAGTTACTCTATGATAGTTACCACACTTTTTAATGTTTGCACTAGTATAGGCATGAATCTTACTGACTTATATAACATTTTACATTAGTCTTGTTGTGTAAATATGTTTGTTCTAACTACATATATTATAGCGGTATAGCAATCAATGTCACAAATGTATCTGTCCAACACCAGTTATGGATTCAAAATTCAATATGGAGTCAACCAGTTTAGATGTTGTAAGTTATTCTTATTATAATTAATTGTTATTATTATATTGTTGGTGATTGTTCAGTTATTATTAATAGCCATGTAAATGATGCCAACATAGAAGAGTATGTCATGATGTAAGCAAGTATAGTTAATATAAATGTTACATGTTGTTTATAGAGACCCGGCTTTTGGCAAACAAACACTGACCAAAAAACTCGTTTAACCCGTGAGCAGGAGTTAGTGAATCGCTCCGTTTTGTCGAAGGAAATAATCCTAAGTATGCCGCACGTCCGTGGACTGAGTGCCAAGGAGCAAGTGAACAAAATTGGGTCGGAAGTATTGAAGTATGGTTAACTAGTAAACTTTTAAGTGTATGCATTATAGAGTTTGGTTCAGATATATAAATCCAAAAGACCCGTATCCCTTGCAGTGGATCAAGCCAATAGGTGGCGGTGGTGATCGCTTAGAGGTTAAGGTAGTGTATGATAGTATTGCAATATATCCCTAATCATAGCTTTATTATATTTATGTATAATATTGAGTGCATAATTAATAAGATTAAAGTAGTAAAAGCATACTTATAGGCTAATATGTCAAGCATATTTTGGGACCACTTCCTAGAACACGGAAGACGGAATTCGATGGATTACAATCGTAATACGGGAGCGAACATACGAATAACTAGGGGACGTACAACGCATGTAACAGACTTAGAAAATTTGAGGTATATTTAACTAACTGATTAATATCTATACTATGACATTCAAAATGATAATTTAGCCTATTCCTTCGCAAGAAGATTCGCAATTGCTGCTTGGAAAGCCATATACCAATACCAGAAATGAGCGTGAGAAAATCCCAAATAATTTAGAAGCATCCAGTAACTAAGGAGATAAAGGTTAGAATTGAAGACATTAATGTTTTGTATGCAGATGTATGAAATAACTTATTATTTAGCGTTTCAAGTCAAACGAATTGGCTGTGTTACTCGGCTGGAATTATTCGGAATGGCAGGGCACTGCTATATATAAGAGTACTCCTGACTTGCTGCTGCATTCTGTTACATTCCTTCGCGCGCGACGTCTCTCTCGCCACGACGCGACAATTTCGTTCCTACTGCACCACACCCCTATCACCCTTATGTTGTTATCAGTGACTTTTACTACCCACCTGCGGATCATCTGCAGTATCGTGACATCTCATCTCACCCACCAAAGGTCGAGGCTGCAAGGTTAACGCGAAAAGTGTAGTCGTTCCTATGGTTCTCGTTACTAGGGCTTACTATCAGCTCTAAGAGTTGGTATCACTTACTTTCACCCATCGACTGTGCTTCCACCCTAGCGCCTGCATTCTTTTCAGATACATGCAGACCTCTGCACGCAAACACATGCCCAACCCAACTGTATACCAGCGAACGAGCTAGGGTTATGGGGCCAAATGGTATTGAGTACTGGATAGTGGATTGTACAATTTGTAGTAAAGAGGTACAATGGCCACAAAAATTCATCAGCTTTACCTAGAATAAGAACTCCATCATAAGCCCAACGGAAAAAGGAGTATAATTACCTCCTACAGAGCACATCAAGTGAGCTTTGGAGTAAAAGGAGAAAGTTCGGGGACAGCGGAAGAGGAGAGCTCGGTGAATGGATGCACACATTATTGGGATGGAAAAAGTGTAACAGTTGTTGTGTATCGATTGTATATGAAATGCTTAATGGAAACAGACATTATATCGAAGTGTCTATGATGATGTTTACCACTTGGACTGGAAAAATATCATTGAAATTGAAAGCGGCAGGAATCGGCATAGCAATCAGTTGGTTTCGATAATCGAGCTCCTGCTTATATAAGCAGTGCTGTAATCGAATGCTTGGAGGAAACTAGTCAAAAGGTTGCTGTTCGAAAGCAAGCCTGAAAGTACAGTGACAAAACAGACTACTAGGTTATCCTCTTTCCAATAATCGTTAGATACAAGCATTGATGCTATTGAGGAAGGAATTGACATCAACTTCCATCAACCTAATAAGGGTGGGGACTCCAAAAACTCCTAAAATTCTGAATGCTGGAGCGACGAATTCATATCATGGTACTCAAGAATAAACGAGATCACCTTTATCCGTGTATTACGAAATGTGTCACTAAAGAATAATGTTGTATAAGATTCCTGCAGGATGACCTCTGGAGGAGGATAGTGGGGGAGCCAAACATATTTGTGATTCTATTCGTTCTGTCACCGAAAAACGACCTGACAATGGGAGTAACGACCTGACGATGGGAGTTTATAGTGGTTGAATTTGATTCTACAAAGCTCTATCGGAACGTTGTCGGAACGTCGGAAGGTCTAGTGTTGCCGTCAAGGCCCTATAATCAAGAACACACGGGCGCAAGCATTTCATTGGGTAAGTGTGAAGAGGACAAGTGCAGGTATGGTGATTGATTCCATTATGTTCCAAAAATAGGCAAATGCAGAAAGCTGGTTAGCGAAAACAGCTCCATTTGTAGAACAAGTAAACGGTTGAACAAACTTCCGACGTCAATGTTAAAAGTAGTCAATCGAAACATTGAGAAAACTCTCATGAAAACCAATTTTCTTGAAGCGATTGATGTAAAACATGTTATTTTGTTCACTCAGGACGCTTGACCCTATGGATTGAGCAACGAAACATGAAGATAAAAGTGAAGACTTTTGAGGATATTTGACGTTGATGATACTGCTTAATAAGTAGCAGGTGTAATCCAACAGTTTTGGCTTCTGATAGCTCGATGTTATGTGGTAGAATATATCTGCTCGATCCCTTCAGTATACGGACACCGCGTCTCCAGACTCGATCGCTATTTGCGGTTGCATTTCTTCCATTTACTGGTTGTAGTAATACGAGGTGCGAGTGATTATCTGAGGATGTGCTCGAGCCGACGCATATGTACTGGATGTTGGCAGGTGAACGCGTCCATTCGGCGCACAATCAAATAAACAAACCCGTAGTGACCAGGTGACTCAAAGAGTGTGTAGGAACTTAACCTCTTGTCCCCTTTTTAGAGATATTGCAAGCTTGTGATACGACTCGAACACGTCGAAATGTTCGCCATATAGCATCGCGCGTCTCATACTGTCGATGCACCTTTGTTTGTGCGTACTGGAGCACCCTCGATTGCAGGATGTACCAGTGACTTCCATCCACTTCATCCACGGGGCGTCCGATCCGGCTTCTAGAGCCTAGTCCACGCTACCCTCCTAGGTCAATTTCCAGGTGAAAAAATCGATTCTATTCTTTTTCGTGAAAACTCTCCTGTCGCCTATGTCCCCTTCGAACTTGAATGATCTGGTACAGCAGAACAGGAGGTGAAAACTTACGGCTATACACACGCACACAAACCCTTCGTGAGCGTCTCGCAGGTCATAAGCGGAGTAGTGCTCAAA